CCCCAAAACCCCAAAACCCCAAAACCCCAAAACCCCTGGAGGATATATAGCTATAGAGAGATTCCTTAAACTATTATATATTTATTTCAGCCATAATGATGAACTTTTCTTCCAGGGTTTCAAAGAAGCTCTGCCCTTACCTCAAGAAAACAACTGTCAGACAAGAAGCTGCATCGACTGCGCACTCTTTGCCCCAAGCTATGAAGGAATGCCCATATGTTAAGGAGTTGTACTCCAGCTTCGGAGTTGAAGACCAAAAAGATACAGAAAATTTGGAGAGCAGCCACAGTTCTCTTGGTGTCACTTCTACTTCTTCTGCTGAGCCGAAGCTATTCAAGATGGAAAAGACTGAAACTTCCTGCACCAGAAAAGACCCCTATGCTACAGAAGAGGAGTCTCAGTGTTCAATGGATATCTCTCCAAAATCTGAGAAAGAGTCTACCCAATACGACAAAAAGTTTGATGCTTCGATCAATCAGCTCAAGGACGAAGGCAGATACAGGAAGTTTATCAATGTCGAAAGACACAAAGGCAGCTTCCCAAGAGCCACCAGAAGAGAGCAAAAGGACAAATCTGAAGTTGTTGTTTGGTGCTCCAATGACTATCTCGGTATGGGCCAGAACCCTAAAGTTCTAACAGCCATGCACGATGCACTCGACAACTCAGGCGCTGGAGCTGGAGGCACCAGAAATATTGGAGGAAACACCAAGTATATTGAAGAACTTGAAGAGGAAGTGGCTCAGCTTCATGGCAAAGAGAAGGGACTTGTCTTCTCATCTTGCTATGTTGCAAACGAGACAACTCTGACTACACTTCCCCAAATCTTAGGGCCTGACACCATCTACTTCTCTGACTCCAAGAACCATGCATCTCTGATTCATGGAATGAGAAATGGAAGATGTGAGAGAAAGATATTCAGACATAATGATGTCGAACACCTAGAAGAACTTCTAGAACAGACAGATATCTCTAGACCAAAAATCATTGTCTTCGAAAGCGTTTATTCCATGTGTGGAACTGTCGGCCCAATCAAGGAGATTGTTGAACTTGCAGAGAAGTATAATGCCCTCTGCTTCCTTGACGAAGTTCATGCAGTCGGCCTTTATGGCCCCTCTGGAGCTGGTGTTGCTGAACTTATTGGATGCCATAGTGACAGAGTCATGATATCCGGAACTTTAGGTAAAGGATTCGGAGTATTTGGAGGATATGTAACTGGAAACGCAAACCTCATTGATGTGGTCAGAAGCCATGGAGCTGGTTTTATTTTCACAACTTCTTTGCCACCTACTGTACTTGCTGGAGCTAAAGCTAGCATCAGTCACTTGAGAGCTTCTCAAGCTGAGAGAAACAGACATAAATAGAAACACTAGCACTTTACTCGGAAAGCTGCTTGACCAGAACTTGCCTGTAATGAAGTCTGATTCTCATATCCTGCCACTGTTCATCGGGAATCCTGTATTAGCGAGGACTGCTTCAGACATGCTCTTGGATGAGCACAATATTTATGTCCAGCCAATAAACTACCCAACCGTTCCAAAGGGAGAAGAAAGATTGAGAATCAGCCCATCTCCTCTGCACACTGAACAGATGATGGATGACTTCGCTGGAGCTGCTAGAGAAGTTTGGACAAACTTAGGCCTCAAGCTTCTCGATGACTATCTCGTCCATCCAGAGATGGAGGAGAAATTCTTCCTTCCTGCTGATGATGGAAAGAAGATCGACATTGGTGAAAACCACCTTTACACCTACATGGACGGGCTTGTTTTGTAGTCCATATCCATATTACTTACTTTGCTTTTAAAGCTTTACAAAATTTGGTTTCAATGCTATTGAAACTATTTGGGGTTTTGGGGTTTTGGGGTTTTGGGGTTTTGGGGTTTTGGGGTTTTGGGGTTTTGGGG